TTAGTACACAAATTAATTGTTTTATGATCTCAACGGAAAAAACCGTATCGAATAAGGGAAAGTTTTGTTTTGTTTCGATTCTTTGCTTTTTTCTACGCCACGTAACCTAACGTGACCTGACTTCGTGATAAATCAACCAATACATGTGTAGCTGCCGTCGCCACTATATACCGCGGGACTGTAGTTGATACAACACTGACTCGTACGGCGGCGCATTAACATAAACTCCTTTTATCTAAAACGACCCTATTCGGTAATCAAAATTTTGAGCACATTATTATTCAAAATCGATTTTTTTTTTTTTATTCAAAGATTTATCGTTGAGTATAATATTTTCCCCTCTATATACTACATTCCATCTTTTCACCTACAACAGCGGCTCACCCATCTTGCGAAGTATATCCGTCTTTTTGAGTTTCCTTATATTTTATTTGTATTACTGATTCCATATTGGTTTGGCTCAACAAATACACGACAATTTGATTTGATTTGATTGACAATTACTAATCAAGACGATAATATGGTGATATAATATGTTAGTAAGTCATATAAGTTCCCTACAATCATGGCTACTCTTTATTAATTGTGATGCAGTACTTTTTAATTTAAAAAGGAAACTCATTGNTATATTCCATCTTTTCACCTACAACAGCGGCTCACCCATCGTGCGAAGTATATCCGTCTTTTTGAGTTTCCTTATATTTTATTTGTTTTACCGATTCCATATTGGTTTGGCTCTACAAATTCATGACAATTTGATTTGATTTGATTGACAATTACTAATCAAGACGACAATATGGCGATATAATATGTTAGTAAGTCATATAAGTTCCCTACAATCATGGCTACTCTTTATTAATTGTGATGCGGTGATTTTCAATTTAAAAAGGAAACTCATTGNATTAAGCGTAATACTCTATCATATTACGCTTGTTTAGTACTTCTGTTATGCATTTCTTATCAGACTGTTATCAGTAAAAAATTTTTTGGAGCAAACAATTTAATCACCTAATTAAAAACACACATAATATATTTGAAACAATTAGTACAAAAGGGGCCTAACCCGCAAAATCCGGAAAGTGTAAATATTGATTTTTTCGTTACATACATGCACTCTAGTGGTTTTTGATGCATTCCTATTTAATGTTTTATAAATATTCTACTAGAGAGAGGCACTTGGCCTAATCTAAAAAAGATGTTTTGAGTCAAAATAAAATGCGATTTTGGCCTAAGCCACGTNTTAGTACTTCTGTTATGCATTTCTTATCAGACTGTTATCAGTAAAAAATTTTTTGGAGCAAACAATTTAATCACCTAATTAAAAACACACATAATATATTTGAAACAATTAGTACAAAAGGGGCCTAACACGTAAAATCTGGAAAGTGTAAATATTGATTTTTTCGTTACGTACATTGCACTCTAGTGGTCTTTGATGCATTCCTATTTAATGTTTTATAAATATTCTACTAGAGAGAGGCACTTGACCTAATCTAAAAAAGATGTTTTGAGTCAAAATAAAATGCAATATTGGCCTAAGCCACGTAATGGCACTATAGAGTTTATAAGCATATGTTTTTTACTGTATGTATTCTTATTACTCCATAAATGGCCTTTCATTAAAGCTTCATTAAAGATTTACACATCTCCATGTCCAATAATCTACCCCCTTCTGCCTCCTCATTCAATACTGAATGCTCAATTTTAGAAGCTCTTTCAACCATTTCTACCCTCCTCCAGGCAGCTCCTATATGAACTTTCTCTTTCAGATTTTATAGTTGAATTCCTTTGAGTACCCGGCCACTCTGGCATAAAATGTAATGAAATAGCACACTCCATCGCTAAATCTATCTCCTCGTTCTGCTGCCCTTTTTCAACTCTAATTCTCTGGACCGATTTTTGTCCCTATTAAAATCCCATATGTTTAATTTATGGCTCAACCAATGGAACAAACTACCCCCAATTTTACCTCTTGGTTTAAAAATATTTCACCATCTATACCCTCTCAACCTTGGTTTCACAACCTCAAATTAAATCGTAACATAATTACTTCTTTTTCACGCCTAAGATTTGGACACGCTCTACTACCTTTACACTCTTATAAACTTTCTCTCAATAGTTCTCTTTTATGCGTGTCACATGTCCACGATCCCATTATCTGCGATATCTCTTACATACTTTTTCACTGTCCCTCTCTGGCTCTCCAACGCATGATCCTTTCCACCCAAATTCACTCTTTTAATGTCCCTTTTGATACCAAATCTATTCTCTCCTCACTTATCGTACCAATTATTATCTCACTTATATCGTTCATCAACCAGGCTGGTTTAAAAATCTAATTTATTTGTAATATTTCTTTTATCATTAATTTTATATACTTTTATGTACTATCTTTGTAATTATTATAATTTTCGAAACTAATTGTAAACAAAGTTTCCTTTTAATAAAAAAAAAAAAAAGTGTACTTAATATAATTTGTCATTATTGATTATTTTCTTATTTGTTGCGTGTTTATTTTGCTTGTAAGTTTTTTAAAATCAGGATTATATGTTGTTAACGCAGTCCTTAACAATTCCGTTGAATGATTATCCGTTGATATTGATCGATGTTTAGATTTAATAATTTTATTGGTTGAGTATAGAGACTCATAAGAATATGTTGTTCCGAAAATCGATATTAACTTTTGAGCGCAAAGAGTTATTTTTGGATATTTAATAACAGGCACATGTTTCCTTAATTCCAATAAAGAATGACAACTGTATTTCAACTGCTTCAGTCCTTCATCTTCTAATAATTCCAAGAGTTGAATTTCTAAAACTACTGTATCCATTGAAATCGATTTTAATATTGGATATCCATTTTCAATAACATTAATTACAAAGGGATTTTCTAAAGATGTCTTCGAAGGTTTAAGTAATTTCAAGTCTTTAAATAGATCTTCAAAGTGAGTTGATAAACACTCTAATTTTTGTACATAATCTTTACAATAAAATTTTGTTACTATTCCAACCAAACAATCCTCAATTTTTTTTAAGTACGGAAAATGGTTTAAATTATTTATTTTTAAGTCTCTTTGAAAAAGTTTAAGCTTATTTTGAAAACTAAAAATGTCTTGTACTAGGATATTTATGAATTTATTTTGACCTTGAAGAGACATATTTAATGTTGCTAAGTGATCCACAACGTCAGTACAAAATGACATATCTCTTAACCCACAATGGTACGAAAGTTGTGGTAAGTTTTTATCTTTTTCTTTTAAAAATGTTTTAATAGGTTCTAATAAATCGAAAAACTTTGTTAAAACGTTATTCACCGATAACCATCGAACTAAACAATACCACGAAACATCATTTGGAATATCATCCTCTAAACGTTCAACAAAGTTTTTACATTGGCGATGTATCTTCGAACCTGAACGTATGTAATTTACAATTTTAAGAAAAACACTCATCACATGTTCATATTTAAAATTTTTGGTCGTTAGGTGTTCTCTATGAATAATGTAGTGAATCGGAATAAAGTCTGGAAAATCAGTATCACTTTTTAAAATACTCTACTCATGCTATACTAGGTGCACCACCAGACGCTAACAATTTTTGCAATAGGTACTTCTGCTTTACGAAGTACTACGTCAAGAGCATCCTTAATATCACAATTTTTAGTAGTTTCTTTAAGAGCTATAAGATCTAATAATTCTTCTTTCACTACCATATTCATCGTCACATAACGAACAAAAATAGCTAAATGTGGTTTATCCTGAATATCAGTAGATCCATCTAACGCTAAACTTAATGCAGAACAATTAGCAATTTCATTTTGTAAATTAGAGAAAATATCTGAACTTTTTATTGAAATACGTCTTTCCATAGTATGTCTACTATTCGAAATATTTTCAACCATATTTAGTAATTTTTTATCTTTCGATCTCAAAATGGAAATAACATCTAAAATGTTTTTTGTTAAATATACCCCATCAGTGTATGGGCGCTTTGCTCGACCAATATTAAACGCCATACAAAAACTCGCTTCAGTAGTTATATATGTTTTTTGGAAAATATCGACATAACAATGCTTTGTTAATTTAATTTTGATTTCATTGTGCTTAATTTATTTTTTCTGAAATCAGAACCAGTAGGAAATTCGTTACTAAACGAACTGTGATTGGTTTCATAATGGCGTTTTAAGTTACTAACCTTAAATTGTGATAGTTGGGATTGACAGATAAGACAAAATGGTTTACTGTTTCGTTCTATGAAAAATAACTCTTCTTCCCATTGTAATTTGAATTCTCTATGTTTTTCTTCATACTTGCGTTTCTTAGACATGATAATTATTTTGTTAATGTTATGTTTTTACACGCACGACGTCGAACAGCACTATGAAGACATATCCATTATCCATGTGAGTCTATGTCTCTATGATATTTATGAAAATAAAATTTAATTTTACATTATTGTAGAATTATTGTTATCGTATTCTCCACATTTATTAAATTCGATACCTTATCTTCTTTACAATATCATATATATATATATATAAATTACATAATAATATGACCTTCTTTTTTTTACATTTTGGCTCTTCTATATTTATTAATATATTTGGTGGCTCGTGGGTCTTTTCTCGCTGGCCACCCTTGGCATATATTGATAATTTTAATTACAAATCATTTATAAATGGAAGCAATAATGCATATTTACAGTTTTGTAAAGATTTAGCAATCAGTGATACTCCAAATAAAACTTATATTAATCGAAGAATGTTATTAGATTATATTTTCTAATCAAGCTCTTGAATATGTATTAAAATGAATATAGGGGTACAAAATAAATGAAAAGTATACCCACTAATCACTTAGATTACCTATTACAGCCTACAACGGTAAGAAACAATTAACATAAGATAGACACTATGAAGGGTATCAATAATATACTTACCTACCTGAACGGAGTATCCTCAGCATCAATGTTGAGTTTGAATACAGGTATAATTATATTTATTTGTTATATTGATGAAAATAGGTAGTAGAAACGATAAAATAAACACTTTATTAAATCAATAATGACAGAATCCGGTGGCCGAATGAATGGAGGAGTCGCTTATGAGAGAAGAAAGGAGAAAATAGTGAAGTGGTGTTGTCCGGTTCTCATTATCATGTTTTATTATTATATGAGATATTTAAATATAATACATATTATTAGTATTCATCTAAATTGACTTATAAACTAATAAAATGAAGTGGTGTCCACTATAATAAAATGTAGTGTAGATATTATTAATATTTTATAATATTATAGTATGATATATACCATATTGTGTATATCATTACATTCACCCCAGACTTTTTTTGTTAAGCCCTCATAACAATGCATATTTTATACAATTTTAATTAACAGTAAATTAATAATAATAATAATAATAATAATAAAAATAATAAATTAATACAATATATAAGAGCGGATCCGCTTACGTGTTATATGTGGTGGATACCTGTTTCCATATGGACATTGTTCGTGGAGTAGGCCGAATAGGGTAAGTGGTTTTATTTATAGCATTGTTAGAGATCACTCCGTATCTATTCGAGTTTTCCCTGTGCATTAGATAATGCGTTATGTTTGAAAAAATACCAGCTATTAATTTAATACTCCAACCAAATGATTTGTATAAGATGGATACATTGAGTATGGTGATATTGTCATTAGCGACATTTTTTCTATGACAAATATACCTAAAACTCCGGACGTTATCTTTCCGATTTCAGTGAACCATCCCCACATTTTATTCAACTCGGATTGGACCATATTGCTTATAATATGTTCACTAATTATGTTCCTGGTGTCAAAGCCTTGGTTTATAACTTCATAACCTGTTGTTTGCCTTATTAGGTTTTTTAGAGCTGTCTCTGTTTCTTGTGGGTACATGAAATGTTTTTGCAGTGCGTTGATTATTTCTGGAGTATATATTCCAGCAGTCATAAAATTGTCTGCACTTTCATAGGACTAGGATATAGTAGTGGCAGGTTCCTCTTGAATTGGTGAAAGCGGTGCCTTGACAATTTCCCTCTCTGTCGAGTGAGCCACCACTAGTGTGAGATATTAAAACTGTTTGATTAATTTTAAGTCCATTATATTCCCCAAAGGTGTATAATACACTCTATGTTGGTGAATCTCCCTGCATCTGGCAGTTTCAAATTCAATTATTTCTGAAAAGAAACGCCCTCTACCATTTGTGCGACTTCAAACACAGAACATCTGATTATAAGGTAGTCAATGGAAATGAAGCAGGTTTGAAAGTATACGGAGTGTGTCTCTGTTTTCTGTAACAGCTTTATGCGATGGACATGTTCGATTTCGACGGGTATTGGTATATCACAGTCATCCTTCTAAGCTGTTGAAGGCCGTGATGTTGATCTGCGATCCACCACAATCATACGCTATGAATCCATATATAATTGTGCTGAGTGTTAAGAATATAAACAAAGATTTTCTGAACATGTTGAATACCTGTCTGATGAGAAGGAGGGGAAGAGAAAAAAAAAATATTATATGGGAGAGAGAAAGAGAATAAAAAAAGGATAATAATAATTATAATATTAGGAATAAGAGTGTAGAAGATAAGAATCTGTAAATTAATGGTTTATTAGTAATAAATATTATATGCATATATATACATTGCATAATATTATGGGTAATTCAGTATGTTATAGTTAATCAATCTGTTCAATGTTTACATTTTTCATTGTTCGATGACACCATAATAATCGTATATGGAAAGCGAATATGTCGTGTGTTTCTACACTATTATTACTATATAGAATACACTTCTATTTTGAATCAAAATAATTACATTATAATATTTGTGAATACAAAATATCAGATTATAGTGTATTTGATAATCATTATGACATTATTTATGTAGTTTAATATAACATATTGTATTTTATTTTTTTTTTCGACAAATCCTTGCGTTTGTGGGGAATAACTGGTTGATAATATTTGTTTTATTCCTAAATTATTGTATACTTCGCTTACTNAGCGATTATGTCATATGTTGCTACACCATTATTACTATACACTTCTGTTTTGAATCAAAATAATTACATTATAATATTTGTGAATACAAAATATCAGATTATAGTGTATTTGATAATCATTATGACATTATTTATGTAGTTTAATATAACATATTGTATTTTATTTTTTTTTTCGACAAATCCTTGCGTTTGTGGGGAATAACTGGTTGATAATATTTGTTTTATTCCTAAATTATTGTATACTTCGCTTACTAGTTGGTTTTTGAAATGCGTACCTCTGTCAGATGAAAATTGTCGAAAACCTTCCTATTGTGATGTTATTTGAATAATGAAATTTATAGTGGAGTGAGCGGTAGCTGACTCAATAGCTTTTGTAAATATGAATTTTATTCTATTTCATGCTGCCACTAAAATTTATTTTTTATTATTACTCGATGTTAGTGATCCTAAATCATCGAAAGTTAACCTATCTAAAGGTCTGTTTGAGAGAGGTATTGGCTGTAGTTGGCCAATTGGTTTTCCATTTAATTTTTTATTTATTTGGCAATTGTGGCATGATTTGATATATTAGGTTGTGTCTTTAATCAATGTGGAATAATAGTATTTATTTCGTATTTTGTGAATGGTGCGCGATATTCTAGTATGACCTCCAATGGGAGATTCATGATATGATTTTAATATTTTATTTATGAGCGATTGTGGAATTACTAATGGATGATTGATATTTATGGGGATTTAAATTGTTTGTGATGTAATATGCCATTTATGATTATGAATTGTCTCGATTTTCTTTGAATATTTGTTGGGATTTGTTCAATTTAAATGTTATCGATTGCTTTTATGATTTGAGAACAGAATTGGTCGTTATCTTGTTGGTTTTTTATATCGGTTAAGTCAATGGTCAAATTATCATTGTCATTATTAATATCAATTGTATTGATGGGATTTCTAGAGAGAGCGTCAGTAACTCTATTTTTTTTTCCTTTTTTATAAATATTATCAAAGTTAAAATTTAATAATTTAAGAGTTAGTCGAGCTATTCTGGCCGATGGTATTTTTAAATTTGCATAGTATTGTAGACTGATGTTATCACAAAAACCAGTAAAGTGCCTTCCCCATAAATATTCTCGAAAATACGTAATGCCAAAACATAGACCTAATAGTTCTAATGTTGTGGATGAGTCTGCTTTTTTGTTGTTTAATGATTTCCTAGAAGCATACCCAATTGGATGTAGTATATTTTTGTCATTGCATTGTTCAAGGCAAGTGCCTAAACCTAATAATAAAGCGTCTATAGTTAGGTAAACTTCCCTTTCGTCATTAAAAGTGTTTAGTACTGGTTTAGAAATTAAAATGTGTTTTAGCTGATTAAAGGATTGTTCATGTTCATCGTTCCATATAATTATTCCCTTAATTCCCTTAATCAATTCAATGATTGGGTGAGCTATTTTCGCAAAATCTTTTACGTGTTTTCTGTAATATGAACACGTACCTATAAATGACCTGACATCTTTCTGAGTTTTCGGTTGTTTAAATTCAGTAATTGCCTTTGTATTAGTATCAGTGGGTTTTGTACTGCCTCGAGATATTACGTGACCAAGTAATTGTATTTTATTGTTGAAAAAATGACATTTAGTTGTTTTCAGAGAAAAATTTAATAAGTCAAATATTTTAAACGTTTTTTTTCCAAATTTACAAGTGTTTCATTGAAATTGTTTCCGTAAGAGGCGATATCGTCAATGTAAATAACTATAGATTTGTATAATAGTGCAGAAAAATCATTTAAAGTTCTTTGAAAAATAGCACTGCTATTTTTGAAGCCTTGAGGTAATCTGGTAAAGGTCATTAACCCATGAACCGATGCAAAAGCTAACTTATGTTGGTCTTCCTCTTTACCAGGAAGTTGGAAAAAACCACTATTTAGGTCTAGAGAAGTAAAATATGTAGTTCCCTCTAAAGCTCTTAATAGGTCAGAGGTTCTAAATATGGGATATTGGTCTGCCTCGACTTTTTCGTTCAGTTCTTTATAGAATACTAATAATCTATATGAACCCTTTTCCTTTTTTTTTTTACTAAAAAGGCTGGCACTGCAAATTTAGATATTATTGGACGAATAATGCCGGCTTTATTTAATTTATCTAATTGTATTTTTAGTTAATCTCTTTGTTGTGGAGATACTCTATAAGGGGCATGAAATTTTGGGTCTTTGCAGTTTGGTTTCAATTTTATTTCACACGGTTTTACATTTGCTGATTTTATAATAGACGCATCTGATGTAAATAAATGTAAGTATTTTTTTATAAATGTATTGCCTGTTTGTGCTGTGATAGATTTAGTTCATGGGATATATTAATTGGAGTGTTTTCATTGTCATATAGTATTTCTTTGTTATTTATTACGTTAGAGTTAGTGGTGATTGACTTATTATTGCTATGGGTCCTTTTAATTTGAATATATTCAATGTTTTTTAATTCGTTATCTATAATATTAGATTTACTTACAAGTTTGTATTCATGTTTTATTTTTATAATTATTTGTTCTAACGGTTTAAAATCGTTTATCTCAATATAACTTGACTGTTGGGTATTTTGAATGATGGCTTTGTAGATTTAGTACTGGGAATTCACTGAGTAT